AGAATTCAAACCTTCAGTTCTGTCTCTTTCCCTGGAGTTTTAGAAACTTTTTCGCACATTTGATATTAAAACGACAGGAAGTTTTCCCATACCCTAAACCAGTTTCTTTTCTTCCTATACCCCCTTTCATACACAAAGGAAGAACCCTGACTTTGTTCTTATATTCAGACTTCCCACTCTTCTAACTATCTCTTCTAGTGCTACAGGCACATTACTTCTCCAAGTCAAGAGTAAATACCAAACTTCTCAGCTCCTTCCTCTTTCCTCTAAAGTTGCTGATTACTGAAAGGCCTGGGCTATTGATCTCAAAGCTAGAGGACAGTTGTTCATACTCAATAAGCTAGACATAGTGGATAGTTTCTTCTCAGCCTTAGGCAACAAATGCTTATAAAATATCTGCTGAAGCAAAGTATATGGAAAGAATAATACCTAAAAGAATGTTACTGGACACAATCAGGAAAACTTGAATTTAACTACTTAATTTATATATAGGAGGGGATGAGCACCCTGGTAAAATACCAAAAGGATACAAGGAATTGCTTCTCTTGCTTTGATAATAATAAGTAATACTAAATGAAATTTAAAGAAACTTCACTGAGGGGCTAGGAAGGTGGCTCAGTGGTAGAGTGCTTGCCTTGCATGCATGAGGCCCTGGGTTCGATTCCTCAGTACCACATAAGCAAAAAGAAAAAAAGAAACTTCACTGATTCTCTGCTATCACTTTTGGTAGAACAATGGCAGCATGTGGAACACACAGCATTATTATATATTGCAAAGAATGGAGCCTTCGTTTTTTTTTTCTCAAAAAAAGCTAAAAATTTTTTTTTAATCTTCCTTCAATGCTATATACTTGTTCACCTTCGGAGAATCCAGGTTCCAAAATTCCGTTGTGGAAGGTGCTATATAACATACTCAACCCTGAAATGTTTTGTAAATCAATGATTTTGGTTATGAGAAAAAACTAACAAAATATGTGACATATACTTGCCCTGAAAGAACTTTTCTGCACTTGAAGAGGGATAGATCAAATCACGTGCTTCAGCAAATATATTTCTTTTTCATGATAGGAATAAAATAAGCAGTGACTATGTATGCACACGAATGTATACAAATGTATATTTAATCTTAAATATGCACTCAAATTTAAGTACATATTAACATAATACTTTACATTTCAAGAAGTGAAAACAGGGAAAGCTTCTTACAGTCAATGCTTTTCTCCAGTTCTTTGGAATTATTCAAATAACTGAAACATTAGAAAACTATAAAAGGTAAGTTGTAATAAGTTGTGGGTATCCAAGGCCACAGCTCAGTCATTGTAAAAATAATGTATTCAATTCCTTTATCTGTGACCTTGAGTTAAGACAGTATATTGGAGATCTTAACTTTGCTATGAAAGAGAATTCACTAATTCCATGTCTCAAATATTTATCATGCAGAGAATGCTACTGTTCCCCGACTCCAGCTACACATGGACTTTTAAGTGTACATTATAAAAGGGCAGCCACTAGCTACATGTGGCATTCTGCCCTTGTGATCAGACACTACCTGCATTTTGAAGAATTTCACTAAGAAAGTATAACATGCAATTAGTTTATCATACTGACATGTTACTGGAATGTTTTTTGTTAAATCTAATAATGTATGTGAAAGTTAATTCACCTTTTTTAAAAAAGGATAGGTCTTAATATATAGCCTAAATTGGTCTTGAACTAGTTCCTCCTGCCTCAATTCCCTAAGTGATGGGATTATAGATGTGTGCCACCAGGCCCAGCCAGAATTCCAGCATTTTTTAAACTAGATGATGCCTTACAAATAGAAAAAACTGTCTTTTACTTAGACAGAATGGAATATTGTTATATCCAATTAAATTACACAGGTAACTAATAAAGTTATTTATTAACTGAAATGTATTCATTCATTCAAAACTACAAACAATGTTATGAAAAAAAAGATGTGTTTTATGAATCAGAAAATGTATTTATTTGGAAATAATGAGGAACTCAAGATTCTCTCAATTTTCTTTTATTAATGTTTTAAACTACTATGGAAAAGATATCATACTAGGAATAAAGTTTCTTAAATTTATCCTTGTGTTTTGCTTTGTTTTTTAAAAACATTGGTGGGGGAGGGGTGAATATGACAGAGATCTAGGAACTCAGAATCTTTCACATGCACTTTACCAGGCTAGCCCTAAAGTGTTCTTTTAAAATCAGTAACAGTTTTCTTATTCATCAAATCCAATCTTACAATGGATAGTCTCATTCCACCATACATGTAAGACAATATTTAAATTTAATGTAGAAGTACATTCATCCAGCATTCCCTAACTGTAACACAGAAATTATCTGGATGTCTGTTTTTCACTTATTCCAAGCATGGAACATAACTAATGCTAATCCAGATACACAAGAAAGAAGTTCATTCATTCCATGTAAAAGATACTTTGACTTATTAAAGCTTAATTCTCCAGTTGAGCACAGTTGGGAAATGATTAAGCCCTTGTGTTATTTAAAAAATAAAGACTCACAAACAGAAAGTGTTTATATTTATACAGGTATATAAAAAGCAATGTATGCTAGAAAAGAAGCTCTCAAAAACAGAACATTTGTGTGTTGTCTGGCAGATTGTGAAATTATGCCCTAAAAAAGACCTTAAGAGTCAGGGAGAAAAGCATAGACAACAGAGAGCATGTCACTCATGTCTTGAACCTAATGTTTAGTGTATTAAACATTAACTATCTTTACTTAATAAAGTACATTCATGAATTCTATATTATTTTAGTTTCACTTTTAAAATACTATTATTACAGGTACAATCCTATACATAAGAATATTTGGTATAAGAATATTACATAAGAATATTACCTAAATATATCAATCCAAATCCTCCAGAGCCAATCATCTTGCCCAGTACCCATTGCTTCCCTTCTGTATCATCCAGAACTTTGCCTTCTGGAAGTGGGACGGGAAGTTTAGGTTTCCCATTTCTTCTTGGTGGCATGACTTCTGGCAAAGCGGTGAGATAAAACAGCTAAAAATAAGAACAAACAAAATTGTACAGTTAAAATACATTTCCCAAGATGTCTACTACGGAAAAATTTCCTAGGATTAAGATTAGTATTCTGAAGACAATTCAGTTTGGGGAAGCCCACTCCACACACCTTATATTTAAGCTAGAAATGGCACCATTAAAATTTTGAAACCTAACAAGTACTGACAGTATGAAAGAAAAGCAAACCAATCTTTTGACTTTCTTTTAAATCAGCAATTTGAATTCATTCAGGGGATCTGGAAAATGCACAAGTGCTACAAATATGCCTTAAGAAACAAGAAGTTAACATTTGCCAACAACAAAGGAAGAACAAATATCATACGCATGCAGTCTCCCTTCGTTGAAAATGGGATGCTAAACGATGAGGCCTTCAGTTAGTATAAAAGAATAGAGCTCTTAATTAAAAAGACATAGAAGGTAGTAATGCAGATCACCACCACCAAGCACAGAATCTGACAGAGTAGGTACACGGTAAGAATTTGTTAAATGAGCGAGATTTTCATTCACAGTAATTTAGGTCATCTGTGGCTGGTGTCAGGGCTGAGGAGTGGTCTGATCCTTCTTGCCCCAAACCCTCTGCCACCCTCATAGAAGTGAAAACAGCTGATTTAAGACATGATAGCTAAACTGTGTATTGAAAAAAAACAAAAACAAAACCAAACTCCACAGTATAGTTACACAACTTTAGTCAATTAATTATAATTGTACCCTGGTTAGCATATTTGACAATTAGAGACTTCGAGTTGAAAGAGAACACTTCTTAGGGGAAAACACATACCATCATAAATGCCTGAAACTCAGTGTGAAAGTGACAGTGGTCCTCTAAATACTACAGCTGCTTACAACTGAGTGCTCTTGATAGCAAAGTTACATATACATGCGTACAGAGACACACAGATGTAAGGTTCTTCTTTGTATAACTTTTCCACCCTGAGTATGAGAAAGCATCCATTTGGTGTCCTTTATCGGCTCTGTTTCCCTCCTTCAGCTCCTGAATCCCTATGCCCTCTTTCAACTCACAGCCTCCACATGCCTGGTAGAATAAAGGCACCAGCAGAGATCCAGAACAATCTTTGCCTAAACCCTCGCTGGGGCAAGGCCTGGGGGGGATGGGGGGAGGGGAGACGGGTATGGCAATGGTGTACATCACCACCTGGGACCGGGTTTCTAGGGGGTTCCCCTTAACCGACCCAGGGGCACAGCCGATTTGAAACTTTTTCTAAGAAAAACTGTTGGAGCTCAAGCGATCACTGAAAGCGGTTGGGGTGGAGAAAGTGGCCTGCGGCAGGGAAGGCGGCCAGGGCTGTGGACTGCCCGGGGCGGGGGGGGGGGGGGGGGGGGAGTGTTCCCCAGGCCGAAGCCACCCCTCAGCCACCGCGAGACCCCGTCCCGGGTCCCCTCCAGCTGCCAGGGCCGCTTCCCTGGTCTACCAAGCGGTGCCCACCAGGCCCCACCGGCCCCCGGGCGCTAACGCCTAGCAGGGCCGGGACTGCGTGGGGACCTCGGCCGTCCCCCCAACCCCAGGGCGCCCCAGAGGCCGCGGCCACCGCGCAGCCCGCGGGGGGGGGGGGCGACACACACGGATCCCCCGCCTCCAGCTCTTTCCCCTTCACCACCACGCAAAGAAGAACTCCCACCCAGTTCCCGCCCAACCCCTCGGACCCGGCGTCTGGGAAAGCGCGTGGAAGCGGCACCGGGTCCTCCCTTCTCGCAGCCACGACGCACCACGCAAGGCCGCGGCCACGCGCCCGGGACGGGCCTACTACTCCGCCTGGAGCCCCGGCGTCACGCACGAACGGCGGTCGGGAGAGCCGGAGACGCCCGGAGAGATCCCGGCCTGAAGTCTCGGTGGCGCCCGGCGCAGCCTCCCGCGGAACTCCGGGCGTTTCAGGAAGCGGCCTCCAACCCCGCGGAGAGGCGGGCCTGCGCCGGGCGGTCTCGCAGGCCGGGCGTGGCCGGACGCCCTGCCCCGCCCCGCCCCACACAGGGGCCCGCGGCCTGCGCCCTCGGGACGCGCTCCGGAAGCGCGGGAAGCGCCGGCGGGGCGGCAGCGCGACCGCGGGAGTCCGGAGTGAGGGTGAGACCCTGCGAGTGACGGCGGAGCCGGCAGAGATCAAACCACCGTGACGGTGGCCTGTGTAGGAAGCTTTGACGCGTCTGAAGCCACGGCAACTTCCAGATCCGCGAGGCCTGTGTGGAGTGTGCACGGGGCCGGCCCGGCCCCTGAAGCCCGAGGAGAGGAAGCGGGCAGCGGGGCGCGGGAGGGCCCGCGGCCCAGACCCGGCTCTGCGGTTCCTACTTGGTGACCTTTAAACTACGGGTTAGTACACGTCCAGTCTTGGGTCTGTGGGATGGAAACACTCACAGTTACCAAGCCGGCTGCAGAGAAAGTCACCAGGTTTCTGACAATGAGAGACTGACAGCTAACTTCCCACCCTTTAGAGTAGGCAGAAACGAAGGGTTATTCAGACCAAGGAACTTACAGCTTCCAAGAGGAGATTGCTGGAAACCCGAGGCACTTGGATGACTTTGAGAAATTGGGGCAACCTTCATCAGTCATTCACCAGAATGGAAGATGGCATCAGGACACACACACACACATTCGGGACACTCAATGCTATAGGTAGAAAAGCATTGTGAAGAAACGTAATCCAAAAGGTAATTGTGCCTTTCAGGTATTTACTAACCCAACCCCCCTTCTTAGGTAGGTAGATATACAAAAGATGCAAGGAGTTGCCTGTCCTACCATCTACATGATTCCAATGACATTCACCTTGCCACCACTTCGCCAGGAAGTCTTTTGGAAGATGCAGCTCCAGCAACAACCACCGTAGATTACTAAAGATTACTTTTTTAGACACACATGTTGGCAAGTCCTTTTATGTCAAACCTTCAAAATAGATTCTCTATCCCCCTCCTCTCATGTCTGGTGCAAACTTCATTGTCTTGCGTGGAAAACAATAATAATGTCCTAACAATCTTTCTCTGTTTTCTACCCTTCTCTTTTTCTCTATTTACAGCAAATAGCCAAGTAATACTTTAAAAGCTAAATTTAAAATTTTCGTGAACTTGAAGCAGTTTAGTGTCATTACAATTCACGCAATATAAACCAGTTCTTACTATAATCTAAAGCAATGTCTTTCAACACTGACACCATTGATGTTCAGGCCAGAAAATGCCTGTTGTGCCAAACTGCCCCTGGCTGGAACTTAACTACAAGGATCTACCTGTTGTCCATAGCTCCTATTTCCTGTGACTCTCTCCAACTACTATGAACGCCTTGTTGTTTTCAAGACCTTTGCATTTCTCCTTTTGCCTGAACCACTCTTCAATGGTTATCTTTGTGAGCTGGCCACCATACCATCACTTTCTTCAGATTATAGCTCAAAAGTCGTCATTGAGTTCTTTCCTAACCATTCTACCTAAAATTTCAACTCACAATACTGCACAGCTTCCTTTTTTTATTCCTCCTGCCACTTACTACAAATACAGTTTATTTATTTTGCTTGCTTTAGTAAATTATATACTTCATCAGGATAGCAAACCATTCTGCCTGCTTTAGACACTACTATGTCTCTAGTCTCAAGAATGCTCATGGAAAACATTTTCTTACTGAATGAGTAAACAAATTATGATATCTTCATCTTTGTTTCTAATGATTGGACCAGACATTATGTAGGAAGAATGTGTCCGGTCAGTAAATAAGATATAAACAAAAGCTTCCTAAACACTTTGTAGAAAGAGATTGTCTTTTCTGGACATTGTTTCACCTAGAACAGCTGTAATCATTTTGTGACCATGAAGAAGGTTGTACCATATACAAATCTAATCCATTAGAAATACCATAGCATCTAACAAGTGCAGTTAGAACATTTGGCTAACCATGTTCACAAGAAAGGAAAGAAGGAAGAAAAAAATGAGGGAGGAGGGAAAGAAAAGCAGAACATTTCAATGTTTAACTCATAGTCTACCTTAAAAGAAAATTTGTTATAGATCTAATTCTAAACATAATAGCTACAACTATAGCTATTAGAAGGAAACATAGGAAAAAATCATTATAATCATTGAGTTTGTATATTGGAAATATTTTCAATGAAGCTTGAATAAAGAAATATACATTGGTTTCATAAAAATTTTAAATTATTGCTCTTCAAAAAATACCAAGTGTTGGCCAAAATGTGGAATAACTACAAAGTAATTTTTGCTAATGATGGTACAGTCACTTTGGAAAACAGTTTGGCAGTTCCTCTTTTCTTTACAGGACACATGCCAGAATTCTCAGATATCGGAAACCACAGACATTCATGTATGCTATATAGGTATGTGTGTGTGTATGTGTGTGTGTGTTTGTCATTAACTTATAAATTAGACGTAGTAAGACTTTAACAATAACATAATAGAAAAGGTGATAGCTCATAATAAGACATAATATGAATGTGGTCTATCTCTCAAAATATCTCAAAAGTATATTCACACTTTGACTTGGGATAAGATTAGTTGATGAAAGGCCTCAATGAGATAAAGTGAGATAAATGTCTGCTCCACGAGGTCAAGAAAGCCTCACGACTTAGCATTAGGATACTATGTCAAGATTGCTTAAAAAGAAGCAATATATACTTCAATCATCATTAAGATATTCAAAACAGCAATTAAACAATTAATAGGCTGGTAGTGTGTATAGGGTGAATATACCAGACAAAAGGAACAAAAAGGTGTTATAGATCTATGAATTTAAAACTATGAACTTAAAACTTATGAATTATTTATTTCTAGTATTTTCTGTTTCATATTTTGGATCATGGTAGAGTGCAGGTTAACTGAAACCTCTGAGTGTGACCAGAACCTACGATATGACTCCACATTCATGTTCCTAGGTATTTAGCTATGTTTAAAAAAAGACTTATATTGGAATGTCCATTAGCAGTTTTATGTATAATATCCAAAAACTAAAAACAAATTCCCATCAACTAATGAGTAAACAAATGACAGTTTAGCTTATATGCAATGGAGCAAACTATGGAGACAAATCACAGCCTGGTTAAATCTCAAAAGTACTATACTATGTGAAAGAAAGTTGTAAAACAAACAAACAAGCATATTGTGTGATTCCATTTATCTGGAATTGCCAGGGACACAATTAAGGAAATGGGATTGTTTACAAAAAAGCTAGAGGAATTTTTTTTGTTATGGTTTTTATTAGAAAGGTTCAAATTCTCTAGTTGGAGCAGTGGTTGGTTATATAATTATAATTTTGTCGAAACTCTAATTGTATACATTAAAATGGATACATTTTGTTGTACATTTATTATGCCTTAATAAAATTCATTTAAAGTAAAGAATGACAAAGTACAAGGATGGGAGGGAATCCAGTGTTTGAGGCCATTACTGACCTACTAATTTAATTTAAACCACCATACTTTACACATTCTGGAAGTGATAAATACCCTTATAGTTTGAGCCACTTAGCACTGGTTTTGAAGTTTCATATAGCCAAAAATCTTCCTAACATTAAAATGAAGTTGCAAGCTACACAGTGCTAATGAATTTAAACTGTGAATATATTTGTTCTAAATTAAAAAATGTGAACAGAAGTGCAGGTAAACCTTCCCTGAGAATATTTTCCGAGTCTTGGGATTTAATGCAGAATTTTATGATTCAGAGCATATTGCTGTGTGTATGTTTCAAGATGAAAACTGACAGAATATAGAAATACAAATTTTGGAACTAGTGAAAGAACGTCTTCTGAATGAACATGACTGGAAACAAAAAAGAAAAGAGAATTTAGACATGAAAGCATTGAAGGCTGAGTCATCAGGAAAAGGATAGCGGAAAACAAGGTTTTCAAACAAAGCTATTTTGATAGATCTTACAGGCTATGAATGATTCACCACAAACACACACAAAAGCTTTCTTGGAAGTGTGCCAACTCATAGGTATGGTGTGTGAGTTCTGTTTTTCAAAGAACCAGGTGCTACAAAATGCTTACACTGGCTCAAAGGAAGAAGAAAACCCTCACCATTTAGCAAGCATACTTTACAAGGCCAAGATCATTTCAAATCAATTAAAGTGTTAAAGATGTTGCATAGACAAAACATTTAGAAAAGCCCAGTCTTTGTTATTTAATGTGAGGAAAGGAGATCATTTCAGTGGAAATATTTTGCCTGTCAAAGAGCTAGCTTTTGTTTTATAAAAACCATGAGGCCATTTACAGTCACCAACTCACAAGGAATCTGTGGAGAATAAGCAGTTACTGACAGGAAGTTTGAAAAGGATAGAATTTAGAGCACATTGGAATACCAGATATATAATAAGACCAAACATCTATAGCTTTTGTATTTTTTATATAGGAGAACCTATGGTTCGGATGTGAAATGTTTCCTAAAGCTTCTATGTTGGCCCCTAACTGTGGGTACTATTGAGAGATGAGTCAATCATAAGGGTTCTAACCTCATTAACTTGTTAGTATTAATCCATTGATATGTTCATAGCTGAATGTGCAATTAAGTGTGGAACCTAGTTGGAGTGGGTTACTGGGTGCTTGCCTTTAAATATTTTATCTTTCCCCAAGAATCCTCCTCTCCTCCTCTCCCCTCCCCTGCTCTCCCTTCCTCCTCCTTCCCCGCCCTCCTCATCTGTCAGTATGTCAACTGCCTCAAGAAAATCTTGTTCAGGGACATTTATTGGTAGAATTTTGCTGTCAGTCTGTATGTAATTTTCTATCAAAGTATCTCTTAAACAGCAGAATGTAGCAAAACCAAATATTTTGCTAACACAAAGTGGTAGAAGTCTTAAACATCCATTCCCCAGATTTAAAGCATGATAGAAGTTAGACTATATTCACAGTCTACATCTTCTTTCTCCCCAACCAGCATGTCAGCCATCATCAAAGGAGGAAGAGGAGCTGGCTGGATAATTTTAAAGCAGAAACTATATGATCTATCTGAATAGAGTTGATAATACATTCAGAGAAGAATTTCCCATGTGGTAAGTGAGTCATGCTTTTAAGACTTTCTTTCACAAAATAAAACATCACCCTCACAGATATTAAAAAGATCTATGCCCAGGCATGACAGGTCATTTTCCACGATGCTCCAACATACCCCTAAACAATCCCCATGACTTTTTTCCTCCTGCTCTACACCTGTTGAGCATAGACTCTCTGACCAATAGTGGTATCAGGGTCCTGGCAAATGCTACTGGCCACCTCCTCCACAGCTCTGTCCCTGACAGTTTGTGGCTTGTAAGGCACAGAATGGATGGTGGTTCTCTGGAAGCTTTAAATCATTAAACCATGCTGTGGACTGCACAAAAGCAAAAGATTACATTGCCCATTGGAGTCACAGTTTGTCTCAATGCTTTACTTTCCTTCATGTGCCAACAAATGCTTTAGAGTAATCAGTTTATGTGTGTATTTTTCTAACTTTCATCCCCAAATTTAGGTCTTGAATATGCAGTGAGGAGTTAGTGAATACATCAAGAGAAAGATACCACTTTATATTCAGAGTTACTTTCTTTTGAACCAAAGAAAAGTTACTGATCAAAGTTGGACCTTCTGACTTCGTTTTATTGCTTTAGATTTCTTGTTATTTCAGGCAAATAGACTTAGATTATTTTGAACCTAGCATTGGGCCAAAATAGAGAGAGTTTACCTGGGAGCTAAAAAATTATTATACTTCTAGCTAGGTGATGGTGGCTCATTCTTGTAATCTTCCCTACTCAGGAAGCTGAGATCTGAGGATTGAGCTTTGAAGTCAGCCCCGGCAGGAAAAAAAGAAGAATCTAGAAGTGGCTGAAGTGGTATAATGTTACCCTTGAACAAATAAGCTCAGGGTCAGCACCTATCCCTGAGTTCAAGCCATAGGACCAGTACAAAGGAATTATAACTTCTTGAGGATGCCAGCATTATAAAACATGTTTATGGGCTAGGAAGATGGCTCAGTGGTTGAGTGCTTGCCTTGCATACATGAGGCCCTGGGTTCGATTCCTCAGCACCACATAAACAGAAAAATCCAGAAGTGGTTCTGTGGCTCAAGTGGTACAGCACTAGCCTTGCACTGATTAGCTCAGGGACAGCACCCAGGACTAGAGTTCAGGCCCCACTACTGACAAAAAAAAAATGAAACAAACAAAAACAACATGTTTATGATTGATATTGAAGGATGGTTGCCCATTAAAAACCAGTTCAAAAATGACCTCTGTAAACATTTTAAATGAATTCTCTTTCAGCGTTTAATTTTCCTTCTCCCAAAAAAGATTACATACTTTTCATAATTGTATTTGTAGTATGTGTAATTGCTTTATTCTGTTTCTTTCCATTAACAGTATATATATACATATATGCATACATATATGCACACCTCTGCAGTGTTCCCTCATGCATATTACTCTCTACCCCCAAACATTCATTTCCAGATTCTGAAGCTTTAATAAGTTTGTTAGGTAAAGTTAAGTAGGAATCTCAGGAAGCAAAGGAATTTGTGATAATAAATTCATAAAGAGAAATAATAATAATAAATAATAAAGAGAAACCAAGGAGATAAAGCAATAAATCAAGAATGCTAAAGATGACTATAGGGGAGCAGCCTTACAAACCCAATGCTAGGTTCAAAAAGAGGAATAAAGGTGAGAGAAAGTGTGGTCAAAGATATGGCTCAACCCAACACAGATTTATTAGAAAAAAAAGTCTGCAACGGGGAGCCTCCAGCCAAAGCTACAGACTCCTTACTATGATCTAAAGTATTTATAGTGAGTCTGAAAGAATGCTAGATTGTCCAGTGGAGGTGGTTTGAAAGTAACTAGTGGCGAGATGTATGGTGGGCAATAAAGTCAGGGAGAGAGTCAAGCCAGGATAGCTTGACAGGTCCAAACAGAGTAGATTTGAATGTGGTATTTGCTGCCTAAGTTTATCTGGTCAGGGAAAGAAGGCAAGGCTGGAGGTTAGTGAATCAAGTCACTCTTCTGGGTCCTCAAGAGAAGGGCATTTCGCTATTGGACCTAACATGCAGTTATTGGGAGGAAGAGGCAAGAGGATCAAGAGTTCAGAACAACCTGGGCTGCATAACAAGTTAAAAGCCAGTCTGAGCTACATCAGTCATGAAATTAGCAATGGCTAAGAATGAACTCCCTGTTAGAGCACTTGCTGAGCATTCAGGGGGTCTTGGGTTAGATCCCCAGAACCACTAAAATATTAAAACAAAAAAATGGGGAAAAAAGGATCAGAAAAGACAAAAGTACATGTTATTAAGCTGAGTTTTTAGAAAGTAAGATGATAAGAATATGAGAGGTTTTGTGGAAAGCAGCTGCTCTGAGATAACCAATACTGGAAGAGACAGAAAAAAATGTTTTAGAGTTGAGTGCTCTTCTCTCCTGTTGGCAATGTTTTTAAGGAAGCACAGTAAGGGAGCATGTTGCTTTCAATTATCTTTGGCTGCAGGACTGTAGTTTCTTAGAATATCATCCTATTCTGAGGTTTTTTTTTTCAAACTGAGGCTGCAAACCAGCCAGGATTATGCAGATTACATGATAGCTTTTGAAAATTCTTACTTTATGTTTACATAAATGGAACTATACATTACTTGCTGATTCACATTTCCATTTCTATCATTTAATAGCATCTTGGCATCCCCAATCCTTATTTCACCACATCCTAGTTTTAAACATTTTCTAAGAATCCATAGTATAGCTATATCATAATTTAACAATTTTCTTTTACATGGATATATGCTTATTCTTAATTTCATTACAGATAATCAAAACAGCAGGGATTTGTATTTACTATATTTCAGCAGCACCTACAGCAGTGACTGAATGTTATTGGCTGGGGATAGCAAATTAATCTGACAATAGCTAGATTAGTAGGAAAAAAGGAATACATCTTTTTATTATATTTATTTACTTATTCATTATGTACTTTATTTATTTATTTACCTGCATGAGTTCTCAGAGAAAGGTAAAGATCAAAGGAGCACTTACACTTAGGTCCTTGCATATCATTTTAACAAAGGGTGATCAGTTATAAAGTGAATAGAAAAATGGGAAGGAGGATTGGACTTCTAAGGGAGAGGTAACTAAGAAATCAACAACCACAAGGATAATGGATAATGGAGAGTAAGGTTTGCTATGTAGATAAGTTACCACCTTGTCCTGTTCCTGGAGAAAGAAATTTTCACAAAGGAAAACTGATGTTGCCATTTCATAGAGAAATTTATACCTTGATTTTTACATAGAAAGGTGGGAGGTCAAAGAGTTCTTGCTTCTGTTGTTTCTCCAAATGTTCAACTCAAGATAATCTTTATGTCAGAGTGACACATTTTAGGGTATCATATTTTTTGTTATCCTGCCCCTTCACTGATACATAATACACTTTCAAATATCCCCTTGTTGAGTGAATATTTGATATGTGGTCTATTTCCAAGACTTTAATATTTTGCCAGTAAGATGGTAAATTTTGTGCTGCTTTTTGGTTGTTTGGTTTTGTTTTCTCATTTGTTTATATTAGACATTTGTACTTTTTTCAATTAGGGTTTTTTTGTCCACAACTTTTCTGGTTTTCCTTTCAATTTGATCTTTCAGTGAAGACACTATCATTGTTGGCAATAGAGAGCAAGACATATTGCATGAGTATTGTAAGGTTTAAGTGAAGAGAAGCTGGTAAAACAACAACATAAGGACAACAAAAATATCTAGCATAGTTCATACCCATCAGATGTGACTGTATGTCTAATACTGAGCAAGTGCTCACTGCAGAGGCAAATGAAAGCCAGTACCATGACACTGCTTTGTTTAAAAGGAGCTTTACTGTAAATAACCAACAAGGAGACAGAAGACAGTCTCAAATCGATCTTTTCAATTGGCCAGTAGGGAAAGACTAGAAGTGCCTCAAGGTTATTACTGGGGGAGGGGATTCCTGTTCCTCTATTTTTCTGGTCCTTCCTGCACCTGTCCACTGTATCCCTTGTTTCTGATTGAGGTCTGGTAGGTTCTGCTCTCTTCCTCACTTGTGAGAATCTTTGGATACAGCAGACGCTCAAGATCATTTTAGATCAGGTACTAAATTTTAAATTTGCATGATAGAAACCACTTTGTACCATTATATAAGGAGCCCTCAATCCAGGTGGAACAGTTAGCTCCCAAAAAACAGAAGGGGAATTTGTCAGTATTATATAACAACTTTCAGAAACAGAGAACTTCCCATTTTCTGACCCCCTTTCACTTACTTTCTCAATTTTCTTTATGCTAAGAATACTCTTGAGTCCAAAGGTACTCATCTATATCCTTTAAAAAGTTCATTCCCAGGGCTGGGAAGGTGGCTCAGTGGTAGAGCACTTGCCCTGCATACTTGAGGCCCTGGGTTCGATTCCGCAGCACCACATAAGCAGAAAAAAAAAGTTCATTCCCAAAATGGATAGTTTGGTTTCTGTTTTCCACAACTTTTCTTCTTTAATTTTTAATTGTACCTATTCAAATTTATGAGCCAAGTGCAAATCTACTTCTGTTCCCAGTTTTCCCACTATTCTACCCACCACACATATATACACATACAACACAGATTCTAACAGTCAGTTTTCAATCTTTTGTTTTACTCAGGTTGTCTGAGCTAAAATTACAGAAAATGTTTGGTGCTGAATAAGAAGTCTGATCTTAACATTAGACTCATGCTCTTTTTACCAAACCCCTCCAGAGACAATTTTCATTTAAATTAATTTAAACAAAAATTAAAATTGAGGACCCTCGTAGAATGAGTCATGTTCCAAATATTCAATAGCAATGTGTAGTGGCTACCATATTGTAAATTGAAGATTATAGAATATTTCAATCATTACGGAAAGCTCTTTTGGTCATCCATGTATACTCATTGGAGAAACTTTGGAAACTTGAATAGGAAGCTAATATCAGCTGGTGCCCAGAACCCTATTCTTTATTCAATATTGTATGTATTCTTTTTTTTCAATATTGGGGATAGAACCACT